AGAGGACCAGGGTTTGATTCCCAGCACCCACATGGCAGCTGACAGCCATCTGTAACTCCACTTACGCGGGATATGATGCCCTCTTCTGGCCTCTGTGGTCATTGCGTGACACAGGTGCACTTACATACATGCAGGCAATACACTCATACATATAAAATAAAAATAATATTTTTTAAAACCCAAATGCTGGGGCTGGAGATACGGCTCAGTGGTTAAGAACATTAGTTGTTCTTGCAGAAGACCCAGGTTTGAATCCCAGCACCCACATGGCAGCTAACAACTGTCCGTAACTCCAGTCCCAGGGATCCGACAGCCTCTTCTGTCACCCGAGGGCATTGCATGACACAGGTGCACTTACCTAGATGTAGGCATTACACACATGCACATTTAATTAATTAATTAATTTTAAAAATCCAAATACATAATAAAAATAAAATGCATAGAAAAGGGAGAAAAGTAAACACAATCATCAACAGAAGAGATTAAAAAAGTTTCCTATATTTTCTGTTTTCCAAATTTTCTCCAATTATAATTTAATGTTTTTTTTAAAAATGAGCCTTTAAGGTGGGCATGGTGGCACATGTCTTTAAGAGAAGATTGTAGCCTGTAATTACTCTTGGTCCTTTAAAACCAAGAGTATGAGGAGAGGTGAGAGAGGGGTGGCTTGCACCAACCTATGTGAATCACCGCTCTGGCGACGAGAGCTGCAGGAGCCAGGGGAGGACTGACTCAGATGGATGCCATAAATCCCTCAAGGAGCTTGAATCCGAATCTGAGTGGCGTGCAGTCTCGTGACGGCCGGGTTGCTCACAACAGTACTTTAACATCTATCTGTCTGCCTCCTTTGAGCCTTGAAACCCTGGGAGTCAGGAAAACAGCTCTCACTTTATGCCAAGATATTGGGAATTGGAAATAAAAGAGCACCTGGTGAGCCAGGCACCTCTTGTGTGTCCAGAGAAGGCGGCCCCGGTTGAAGATCAGGGACCACAGTGGAAACCTAAGGGGAAGCCATTGAAAAGAGAGGAAATGGAACAGATGAAATGATGTGGTCAGTTCTGGAAGCGGGGTGTATTGATGTTTGATCTCTTTTTTGCAAGGTATACTTTTATGTTCTTTTGAGAGCCTGATGTCCACTATAGCCATGGCTATGGTTAATTGGCACTTTTCATTTGCTGAAAAATTTGATGCCAAGTGCTAAGAGGCACTGTAGGAGAAGCACTGAGAGTCAGACCAGTGTACATAGGGTTTTCCCTCTCTTAGCTGCATGGCCTATGCTGTCTGCTCTGTGCTTGTGTCTCCTTGCCTGTGAAATGAATCCATCATGCCTATGATATTGGGTTACGATGGGGATAGGGATAAAATGAGCATCCCTACAAACAGTAAGACATTGCTTTTGACATTGTAAGTACTCATAAAAGTGAGATATTAGTAACTATTATTGGGCTAGATAATATAGGAAATAAAATTGGTGTTATCCTTCCTTTAATTAGTATATACACCAAAAGGCCATAGTAATATCTTTTAGACATCAGAAATGTAGAGATGTTTGATTTTTTGTTTGAGACGGGGTCTCACTATGTAGTCCTGGCTGGCCTGGAACTTGCTCTGTAGACCAGGCTGACCTCAAACTCTGATTTAGAGATCTACCTGCCTCTGTGACCTGAAGGTTGGGATTAAAGGTGTGTGCCACCAGGCCTGGCCTAGATATTTAGAGGTTTTGATGTAGATTAGATTGTGTATTTGGAACTTGGTCATGGGAATGTGATACTTTACATTTGCATTTCTTATGATTGAGATTGAGGTTCAGAGAGGCTAATTTTCTTTTCTGTTAGAATAAGAAGTCGCATACTGAATTGTTAATTGTTTGGGGGGTGCGGGAGTTGAAGTACTCCATACTGTTTCCACAGGTAATTATGTCATAGCAGCATTTATTCATGCATCCTAAATGCATCTATGCAAATAAAAGTGTGTGTTGAGCATCAACAAAACAAAACCGAAAACCAAGAGCATGAGATAGACATTGAGTCCAGGCACACTGCCTGACAGGCTTGACCTAAATAATGTTCTTCCACTTTCCTTTCAGATTACAAGGTAACTGCCAACTCAGAGTTAGTTATCATCACAGCAGGTGCAAGGCAGAAGGTGGGAGAGACTCGCCTTGACCTGGTCCAACGAAACGTGGTGATCATGAAGTCAATCATTCCCAGCATAGTCCACAACAGCCCTGACTGTAAAATACTTATTGTTTCAAACCCAGGTGAGTTTCTTTCTCTTCATAAATGCGATTGTCCCATCTTTTTATAGACTTCATTCAGTGTCTACAATGCCGAGCGTTTAGACAGAGGGGATCACTTTTGAGACCCTCATTAGATGGGGAGGTTTCTGTCACTTGTGAGACCTGGGTTAGATATGGGAGTCTCTGTCAATTCCGAAGGCTCTGAGCTTGTAGTTTAGTTCTGGTTTTACTTCTTTCCTCTTTTTCTGGGGTTTCATTAAAAAAAAAAAATAGTAGATGTGATCTTTTCCACCTGGCTCCATTCCCAGCATGGTTATTTGGGGGCCATCTATGTTTGGGGTATATCAGTGATTTGTCCCCTTGCATTGCGCCACTATTTTGTTTATACATTTTTATGTGTGTGATGTGGTGTGTACTTGTGTGGGGGTGCACACACCTGTGCATGCATGTGTAGAGGCCAGAGGTTATATGGGGGTCTTCTATCACTGTCCACCTTATTTTTTGAGAGAGCTTCTCTCTAAACCTGGAGCTTGCCATTTTGGCTAGAATGGCTGTCCAGTAAGTCCCTGGGACCCACCTGTCTTTTAGAACTTTAGCTTCAGTGTCATTTTTGAAGAGTTATTTGGCCAGATACCGTCTGTTGGTGGTCTTGCTAGTGTTCCAGAACAGTGAAACCCATATAACATAATGATAAACATGTGACTCCATGGTACAGTGTGCTCATGATGCCACGCAGTCACAGCTCCTCTTTCCTTTCTGTTCCTCAGACTGCAATACTTCAGTTGTCTCACCTTTGACTCAGTGCGTGTGTACACATGTATTTTGGGGGACAGGGTCTTGCTACATAGCTATGGCTAACCTGTACTTGCCATGCAGGCCATGTGGCCTCAGACTCATGGTGGTCCTCCTGCCTCAGCCTTCAAGTACTGGGATTACAGGAATGTACCCCCAGGTCTGGCTCAGTTTCTGTTTATTGATATTGGTTATTTGGTAAGACAACTTTCTCATATCTCCTTTGAATCTTCAAACATGCATTCCTTTAGCCTTGAATGCACTAAAAATTAGTTATTTTTATTTTGTGTGTATGAGTGCATTTCCTGCATGCATGTAAGTGCACCCATGTCACGGATGCCCACAGAGGTCAGAAGAGGGTGACAGATTCCCTAGAACTGGAGTTATGGACAATTGTTAGCTGCCATGTGGGTGCTGGGAATCGAACCCGGGTCCTCTGCAAGAACAGTCAGTGCTCTTAACAACTGAGCCATCCATCTCTCCACCCCAAAGATTCGTTTTTAGTTTTGTGTTTATATGTGTGTCTGTGTGAACGTGTGCCATGTTGGTGTGTGTGAGTGCGTGCCATGGAACCCTTTTCTTGTTTCTTTTTGTGTCTCATAATTTTTTGTTGAAAGCTGGATATTTAGAAAATTCCATGAAAATACTGTAAATCAAGTTCTCCCTACCTTGGGGCCAGAGAGATGGCTCAAAGGTTAAGGGCACTTGCTGCTCTTACAGAGGACCCAGGTTCAGTTCCCAGCACCACGTCAGGTGGCTCACACTGACCTGGAAAGCTAGTTCCAGGGCATCTGACACTTTCTTCTGACCTCTTCGGGCCCCATCACTCTCACGTGGTGCACATACATGCAGACAAACACTCATATACCTAAAAATAAAAATCTTTTTAAAAAATATTTAATTTTTAATTTTTAATGTGTATGAGTGTATTGCCTGCATGTATGTGAGTGCACCTGTG